GGGATATCAGCATTGATTGTTTGAAGTTATCCGGGACCTAAAGAAGGTTGCAGCCTGGTATTGACTGAAGATTGTCATATATTCACACTTAGCTACTAGAGGAAAATTGATATTTTCTTACCTGGCTCACTTTCATGCTGTGATACTTTATTCCGTTTTATTTTTTTAAAGAAGGCTTCAATCTGTTTTTTTTTTCCCTCCCCTCCAGTGAATAGAATGCTTTATACAATGTTATATAAGGCTGTTATATTTCTGTAGTTCTACAAACAAACAAAAAAAGCCCTAGTTGGAGATGGAGCCTAGCCCAGGGGTTATGTCCTGAGAATGGAAGGCTGGAGGTCTGTGGGGACCATGAGCAGGAGCCATGGAGAGCACTGGTGTGAGAGCCTTGGCCCTTGGTGAGCAAGCAGCACAGCAGTCACAGGCAGGCTGCTAAAAAACAGCAGCAAATATGCAGCCTGGGTTCCCGAGCAGCAAAATGAGAAGATTTCCTTAGGAAGATGGAGAGACTCTGCAGAGGTAGCTACAACCTGGGAAAATAGCTAAGCTGCTGAACTGACAGTGAGACTCAGTGCAAGAGCTCGACACAGCAGGAAAATTTTTCTCTTCTGTCCTACCAGTCACTGTGAGTTTTCTCCCCTTTAAATCAGAAAAGGAAGAAGTCTATAATATAACCAGCTAAATTAGCAGATTGTGCTCCCTAAGTTCTCAATGAAAATACAGGAGTCAACACAGCATTTCAAAGCATGTAAGTGGAAAGCCCAATTAAAGTCTGTCTGAAGTAGGTTGTGTAAATATCATCCTGCTCTCAGAGCTGACTGTGTCAACTTGACAGCTGATATTTCCTCCACTCTGGCAAATTCTCAGCGGATTGACAATTCCTCTCTGTTTTTCTAGCTCAGTCCAGACCTTTATTCCTCAAGGGCCAAAATGAATCATGGTTCAATCTTCTGGAAACATCAAGAGCGAGTGCCTTGTGTATTGTTGTTAAAAACATGTGAAATATATTCTTCGGGAGAAAGGAAGGCATGCAAACAGTTGTTTCAGAAGGAACAGTTTTGTGTTGTCTTTTTAGTGACCTGAGTTTGAGCTTTGTAGACATATAAAACAGTGACTCCGTATAGGTAGAATATTTTTATTTTTTTTTATTTTCTTATTCTTAGTAGGAGCAAAGCTACCTGTAAATATGGATTTAATTTGGTGAGTTTAATTATTGCGTGGACTAATTCATAGAAAACTAAATTTTAGTCAGTCTGAACAAAGAAGCTGCCATTATTTGTATGGTAATGAAACCCTCTCTTAGAAATGCTGGAGACAATGAGCAAGTTAATGAGACTTAGTGAATGCCCTGAGACTGTATATTGTTCCTTCTTATAATTTAGATTTAACACTGCTGATAAAGATAGGAGAAGATCCTGAATTGAATGTAAACATTCAAACACAAAGAGATGAGAAATTTGTGCAAGTTAGAAACGAGAGGAAACAGAGAAAGAAGTTCTGAATAGAAGTTGATCCAGTCAAGCTGTTTGTGTAAGAGGTAGAAATGCATTAATGTTTATTGATTCAGGCACTGAAAAAGACTTCTCCCTGATTGTTTATTGAGCTATATAAAGACTTTCCCATGGATAAAGTAGCCAGACATCCCTGAAATAGTGTCTGCATTGAAAATCTCTCCTTCTGTGTACTTTCTTGGTCAAATATGTGCTGTCAGGTGCCAGTTTAGAGGAACAACCTCAAAGATTGCTTGGGTTCCAGGTCTCCTACACAAGCTTTCATGTTTCCTTCTTAGTGAACTACATTATAAAGGTAAGGCGAAAATTCAAGGAACCCTTGTGATTCTGATATATGAATGTAAAGTTTATGCATTTATACTATGCTTCTCTTAGTTATTTACATCTATAATGTAATAGAAACATTTTTTTCATTGTAACCTCAATCCTTTAAAAATAATTTATATTTCTAGACTTACAACTTTTGACTCCTGAGACAAAAATAAATAAGTGAAAAAATACAGAAAATGTTGCCAGTAGTCCTAAACTTGACCACTTTTTTCTTCCTGCTGCCTGTACTGCCTGCTTCACACTTCCCAGTCTCTTCCTGTATTTTTGCACATTCCTTTTCCCATCTCATCGGCATTTACTTCTCCTTACTTAGGACAGCTGTAGATCATGGTGCTTCCTTCTTTGGGTAAACAAATTCAAAAGAGACAATACACAGAGGAGTGACTAGTGCTGCAACTGAAAGCAGAGAATGACAGAAACAGCATGAAAACCCTTAGCTAAAAAGTCATTGTAGTAACAATTAGAAACTCTACCCAAATTAAATTTTACTAATAGTAGTTAAGAATTTTTTTTGTGTGTTCTTTATGTACAAGAATTTATAACTTCCCTAATAATGTGACTGTACTTAATATGTGAGGGCATCTGTTATAAATCTTGGCACAATAGCATATTAGTTTTTAGCAAATGTAGGAAAAAAATGTTGATTGATTTTTAAATTTAAGGGAAGAGAATACCTAGTTATTTTAAAAATAGTCACTGTTCTGTTTTCTGAAGAAGTTTTTCTGAATATACACTTTACAAACTAAGATTCTTCTACTTCTATGTGTATAAGCTTCTGTATTATAGTATCCTCTACTATATGTATATTTTTTGCACAATGATGTGTTGCTCATTGCTCAAGATAGTGTAACTATTACATATCAAGCTAAGTGTCTGATCATTACCTTGATGCATGAGATTCATTTTGCTGGCTGTGAATGGTGTGGTTGCTACCACAGTGTGAATCAAGGACAGATTTTAAACAAGAACCGAAAAATTCATTTTTTAACACAGTAATGTTCTCCTGTGGCAATTCGTCTGTAGTAGTGTTTTTAAACATGCAGTGCATGATAGCTGAACAAGAACGTGATTAGTTCTCCTAAGCAAATGTTAGGGTGCTCTGGTAGGGCGTAAATAAAAGCCTGTCCAGTAGATGAAATGTTTATCCTCTGCATAGGTTAGGTCTTGTGAACAAGGCCTGTAAGCTGTCTTGACAAATTTGAAATCAGCAACTGGCTTTAGTATCAGAATCAACTTGTTCTTCTTCAAAGACAGTTTCCAAACAATCTCTTATTATGTTGAAAGAGTTTTCTGATACTTACAACCCCTTCTGCATCTTCTGTGTGCTGGAAAGGACAATGGTGTTAACCAGCTGGAAGACTCCAGGTGAGGAGCTGGTTGTGAATAGCTCGTTGAGTCCTTGTATTTGTAGCTTGAGTACTGCTGGTACCATTTCAGGAGAAGATAGATGTGAGCAGAATAAAGAATAAGATTCAACGTGTGATTAATGCTCTTTGTGGTCTGGCTTTTCTTAGGCAGTGGAAGATGTTGTGTAAGTAAGACCAAACCATTACAGAAATATTCATAGAATTAAAATACTTTTGCTAGCTCATTAATATGAAGAAGGGATAAAAAATACTAGGTAAGGGAAGGAGAGGGGAGCAAAAAGATTGGAAATGCAGAAAATAAGTTGATTTATTCTGTATATTTTATGGTTCATGTCATTCTGTGACAGTTGTTTTGACTTCTCAGTGTTAAAACATACTTTAATTTACTATACGCTTTTCTCTTTCTCTAGCCCCATGATTAAGTTAATTGTTGCAGGGTTCATCTTTGAATTTCATCTTTATTAAAAAAAAACGTATCACATTAGGAGTGCACCAGTTTTGTAGGCTACACTATTCAAAAATTCATTTGTGAGGAAAAAAGATGTGGTATAATGTGTGTCATGCTATTGGGGTGTTTATCAAGAAAATTGGCAGAACGTGAAAAGGCCTGAGTGACCAGTAGTTTATCTTTGAAGCAAGCACTGCTTTAGCAGAAGGGTGGACAGATGGCCTCCCTTCCAGCCTGTACTTTTATATGACTCTAAGTATGCAAAAGTGTAAACAAAGTATATAGTGATCTTATTTGCATATTTATGCTTATTTGTGCCAGGAAGTAAAAAATTCTTTGTTACATCTGCCTTGCCTTTTAATAACCCTATTTTGTCTTTAAACAATATTAATAATCTCCTTACTGTAAATTCCCCAGTGGTATATATTGGTATTTATCTATTCAATTTTTCCGTATTAGTTGTATTATCTCCCAAAAGTCTAAGACTTCTGAAGAAATCGTATAAGTCTTCATAGGATTTCTTATTTTGCTTGAAGTAGGTTGATACCTGGCAGGCAAATTCAAAATCTGTTAAAGTTGCTGGAAGACACTTAAGTGATCTTGCCTCCTATTCCAATCAGCAAATGTCTTGCTGGATTTTAATACTGAGCCTACCTCTATCAGTTCCTTCAAAAGTGCTTATGCTTTCTACTTACTCTTTTCCTCAAGTGGCTAGAAGGTAACAGGAAACTTAGAACTAAAGAACTATAGAAAGAGGGCAGATCAGAAAATGAGCAGCTGAAGGGCTGAAAAGAAGGAAATTTTGAGGGGTTACCTTAATCTGCAGAGGGTCTTCATTTTCCTGAAACTGTACCTGTTCAGTTGACTGTTTCTGTCCCGCAAATGAACCATATTCTCTTCAGATGATTTTATTATAATCAGAAGACTAATGTAATAGGTCAAGAAATGTGATGACAAAAGAGATTTGAAGTTGTATATGTTTCAGAGAAAGGAAAGAATGCAAACTATTTTGCAAAAATACTGAAGTTTTACTAGTGCGTAAAACTTAATGGTAGGATACACCCACAAGGGGGGAAAAAAAAGAATTAATATGATTTGCTAGTAATATCCCTGTAAATGTTAATTCTAAAATCTATCATGCCAATGTTAAATTCTACTTTTTTACTAACATACTTGGAACTGCCTTCACTGCTCAACATATGTTTTTCTGTACTATGTAGTTTTTTATAGACAGTACCAGAAAATGAATGGCACAGAGACCATTAGTGAAACTACCTCCTAGTATCTCAAAATGGGAGTAACACCTCACAGGCCATCACTTACAATTTCTGTCTTACCAGGTTAATGAGCCTCAGACAACGTTAATGCACCTGGAGGACATGGGTCTCAAAAGCCCAAGTGCAGCATAAAGAAAATGCCCATTCGTTTGAGTCTGAGAGCCTCACGAGGCCTCTACAGGTAATAAGCTTGGCTATAAATTGACAGTCAACCTTGTTTGCCCTCGGGCTGTCTGAAATCTGTGGGAAGAGATGTTTAAAATGATTTGGGGAAGAAAACTCTTAATACTTTGCCATTTGTTTAAAATCCGGTTGAGGTATCTGTTTTGTGTACATACATTGTCTGGTTATGGCATGCAAGATGTGTTCAAGTGCTATAGCTATAGATTTTCACAAGTCAGTCATGTTTCTGCATTGCCCTGTATTGACCAATTTACATTACATTAAAAGTTACCCATGCAAACTTATTAAAAGAAGGCTAATAGACAACCATGAAAAACCTTTGCTAACAGTAAGAAAAATTTGTGATGCTCATGTCTTTCTCTAACATACATTTCTGCCAGGCTGTGCTGTACTTCCTTATGCTCAGATACAGGTTTCTTAAGATGTTCAGTTATGCAAAATAAAGCTGAAACAAGATACTACAACTGAGTTATGTTACACAAGGAATCTCAGATAGCCTAAGACCACTGTCCTTGAGGAAACAGGTAAAAAAAATACTGTAGAAAAGAGACTGAGGGATTTACCTTACATGCTCGGATATGTACTCTAGGAAAACACTCGGGCAGTCTGTAAGTCAACACTTCTTCCTTAACAAGCATCATCTCTTCTTCCTTAGCATTTAACTATTGTTTGGCAGTCAGGGTGATCTGAATTAACAAGCACCATCTGCACAGAAAACACGAACTTTTTAATGCTTTCATGTACTACCTTCTTGGTTGTTTGGTGCGTGCGGTGTTTTTTTCTTTTTTCTTCTTTTTTTTTTT